GGTCATGTTTCCCGTGATTTTGGCCACTATCAACCAAGATGTTTATCTTAAATCATTAAGGGGGGATTGGAATCGTTTATTATCAAATATCATAAAAAAATAAAGTTTTGTTTTGGCCTGACCTCGCGAGGTCCCATGACACCAAAAAGGTCACGGAGTACCTACGTCTGACAAAAATGAAGTTTGTGCCAAAAAATGGAAACCAACCAAATTTTCCTCAACGGCGACTAATTGAGAAATTCTAGGCACAATCAAGTCCAACTATTCCAAGCTATCAGAAAAACCTGATAAAGTCAGGAGATTTAAAAACCGCTGGAAGAAAATCAGCCTGGAAGTGGAAAAAGTTTCTGGAAAAAAGTTGATGCAAAATTTCAAGAAGAAAATACAGTCTGTGGCATAAGGCGGAATTGAATCATTAATAATTTAATTGTATTACAGACAGAACCCTTTGAAAATAAGCATGTATTTTTTTGAAATTGTATTGATTATTAGTGTAGTTATGAGCATTTTTCTGCGCCATTCCCAAACCTTAGTGGATGCTCTTTAACTCCATAACACGAAAGTAAATATCTGCAGTCAAAAATCTGTATTACCTTCAATAATGTCTCCTCTAACTGCAAAAATAATAAACATGAAAATAATTCAACTATTGAGATTTATAAAATTCTATTTAACACAAGCAAACTTTTCTCACGCTTTTTGGTACAACTCCACCTGGTATGGAATGAGTTAAAAAAATTTTGGGAGATTTATGAGTTATTTATGAAAGCCATGTAGATGCCAAAAATTTTCATAGCACCCACATAAAATTCTATGAACAATTCACAATTCTAGAGTGTTTTGAAAATATTCTGAAATTTAAAAAAATTCAGTTTTGGAAACGCTTTGGAACAGAAACATTTTTTCGTATGCATATATCTCTGGTGCCATTTACACTAGCGAATTGAAATTTTACACCCATAATGCTGACTATAAGGTGAACAAATTGTAAAAATTTCAATTCAAAGTTTCTAATAGCGCCAAAGATATTAATAGTCAAAATCGTTATCGGGGAGACGCCCTCACCTCTGTAGATATTCTGACCTGCAATTTTATGGGGCAGTTCAATAATTGTCATATGGCTCTGCGTATATTTCTTACACTTCCGCTTAGCGTGGCTAGTAATGAACGTTCCTTTTCGAAACTTAAACTAATTAAGAACTACTTGCGCTCAACCACGTCACAAGCTAGATTAAGTAATCTTGCTATTCTTTCAATTGAATACGAATACACACAAGCCATGTCTTTTGAGGAATTAATTAATGATTTTACACTGGCCAAGTGTCGTAAGGTTAATATCTGATTAATACACGTAGTTTCATGCACTTATCCATTACTAGAGAATACTACCGGTGTTTTGTCAATTTGGTTTACTCGTCGTCCTCGTCAAATTTAAGTGGTGAAATTGTTAGTTACATGGTCTTTGTATGCAGCTCAAAATTTTAGGAGCAATAATTTAAGTTCTGAAATAAAAACAAATTATCGATATATTTCTCTACACGTTTTTTCCATGCTATTCTTTAACAACGGCCGGACTAGGAGTTAACGCTCCAGGTCGTACAAATCCACGGAACGCCACTGGCCAGCAGCCTTTTCATGAAGTTTATATGTAGAATATTGTTCAATTACATACCTGTGCGCTTAATTTCAAAGCTGATCACGAATACTGATGTCATGTTTGCCAATTTTTGCAAACTTTTTTTTTGCAAAATTTCGCAAATTCAAATTTTGTCATACTCACAAAATTTGCTCTTTTTTGCAAGGTTTTTTAAAAACTCATTTTACTAATTTCGAAAAATTTACGAACATTTGCAAAAATTGAAATTTACATTAAATTTACATCGTTCAAATTTTTCATGAAAACACTTAAAATAACTAATCCTTTTAAATTTTAAGCAATTTTAAAAATTATTTCCCATATTCATTTTTGCAAGTTGCAAAAAAATTGCAAATATTTGCAACATGAAAAATAAATTTTATCACTTACACATTTTGCAAAATTAAAAAAACAACCAAATTTAAAATTGCGAAATTTTGCAAAAAAGTTTGCAACAAATGGCAAATATTTGCATCAGCTTATAGCATACTCGTGATCAGGCTTGAAATTACACGGACAGGTTTATAATTAATCAATATTCTATAAAGTTCGTTCGAAGGCTGGTGGCTATATTAAAAGCATTGGGAAAATGACACGTTTTGGTGCAGCTCTCGCAAAATATTTCGCGAAAACGTGATTTTGCACCGCATGTTCTATGACAAAGTTTTAGTTTCACTAAATTATCTGTCGATTAAGACTATTTGGAAGGAAATCGAGAGGTGACAGTACTTAAGGTTCCCTTGTAAGTCAAGTAATTCATCGAATAGGTGAAATAGATAGGTTTACATTTCAATCAAAGACAAATATTTTTGTACGTAGTGGGCCGAGTACAAAAAGTGGTGATAATGTTTGGTTAACTGTTGATAAGCAATACTGCATTCTAATCAGAAAAATTTCTGATAGTGAGTTTGAGGCTAAGATTTTTAAAGATGAACTTGATGTAGAGCACTATCCTTGCAAAAGCTCAAAATTAGGTATATGTATTTTATGCAAACTATCTAAACAATCCATAATAATTTCATCCACCTCCTTGCGCCGTAAATGCACAATTCTGCCAATGAATGACGATAAATATTTTTGCATCCCAATTTGCAATTCCAATAGTACTGAAAATGGAGAATCACTACAATACTAAAAAATAAACCATTTGGATAAATTTTTATAATAACAAATTGGAATATTGTATGTATAATATCAGTGGCGGAACTATAGATTCGGGGCCGGTACGTGACCAAAATTTGGGGGCCTATCTAAATTTACTTTTGCTGATGGATATGTTCCTGTAATTTTTATGAATTTTAACATTTGCTGTTAAAGACAAATTCACATACGTTGCGTTATTTGGTTTTAGTTAGCAAAATATGAATGAAAATAGGAAATGACTTGTTTCAAACAACATATTACGTATTTATTTAGGTATATAGTTCTGGGGTTTTCCGATTTTAGCAATTTCTCGACAATCCGGCTTTAAATTGTTTTTAAAATTTTGGAAAGACCAGTTTTTGATCAATCAGATTTTTGGAAAACTGCAATAAGCGGGTTTCATACTATTCACAAAACCGGCTGTAAACCGGTTTTTAATTATGAATCTGTGCATTGTAGTGAGAATTTAAAAACAGTTTAGAAATAAATAAATCACTGGCCAAATTTAATTTATTTATAGACAACTACATTTTAAAACAAATTAAAATTCAGTATAAACGTGATAATAAAGTATTTCAGAACTACTATTTTTTATTTATAAGAATTATTGGGATGGAGCAAATATAAATTTGCTCCATCCCAGTTTGTGGTGTTAACATATTCAAATTTTTTCCCGATTTTTGAGTGTATAAAGTCGGGTTTGGAAAGAACAGAATTTGTGACCAACTTAAAACCATTTTCTCTTTACAACACCAGATTACGAGAGTGTTAAACCGTTGTTAATATAAATTAGATTTTTGTTTAAACTAATTCCCAGCGCTAAACCGGTTCAAATAATTGGCAGAATTTAAAAATGTTCTGTTAAATTTAACCGAGATTCAAATTTAAATCAGTGACACTTATTTATCTGAAATTTGCCACTTAATAAGATGGGCCTCCACTAGCTGAGCATTCCACTATTTGTGATTTCACGGCCAGCTAGTGGTTGACAGTGTCAACTTGACACCTATTAGATAAGGCCCCAATTAACCTGTTTGTAAATAAAAAATCACAATATAAAATCGTTCTTCCCATGCCAAATTTCAGAAAAATAATTCATAATTTCTTCAAACAAATCTTCAAACAAATGAATTGTTTCAAAAAATTAGAGAATCTCAAAGCCATTATTGCATGACTTAAAAAAATTCTACACATTATATAGTTTTCACAATTTCTAAAATTTTATTGAATTAAAACAATTTGCACATTTTAAAATATGTGTACAAATTAAAGATATTTCAATAATTCGAGACATTGGTACAAATTAAAACTTGGGGGCTCAAAGTTTAACAGATTTACCAGTTAAATAAAGTTAGTTAAAATTATTAAACTGGTCCTGACATTATTTTTTAGTTTAAAAAAAATTATTATTGAATAACTTCGAATAATATATATATATAAAGAAGTCGAAGTGCCGGGGCCCCGGCCCCTCGACATAACGGCCCCCACGGGGGCCGTTACTAAGCGGGGGCCGATACGTGGGACGTACCCTGCGTACCCCTATTTCCGCCAGTGTATAATATATGTGTCTATATATATATGCATAATATGTATGTATTTAGTGCATATAATTTGTACGATGTATGTATAGAAGTAATTGTTTATGTACTGTAATATGTAGTAATTATGTATAAATAAATTGACATTAATTTCATGCGTATCAGTAACACAAAATCAGCATTAAATTCACACAAAATTCGCATATTAATTTTCACCAAATTTCTAGAAAATCTGTACACACCTGTTTGTGTTAATTTTGTACATATTTTGTACAAGTAAACTTGTATTGACAATTTGTTGGTATTAATTTTGTACATGCGACTTGTACAAAATAATTACGAATCGCCTTGCCATTTTAACGGAAAATATGCATTAATCTAGAAGTACAAATTTACTACATTATTTGCAGACTTTGGTTCGTCGGGAGTTGTCCTATGATTATCAGAAGGTAGATATGTATGTATGTAGGTAAGAGGTAATTTTCGCAAAATATGTATGTAATATGTGCCTAAAAAATCCTGCAAATATGCACATAAAAAATGTGGTTCAACTTAAATTTCCTAGTATATTTATGAAAGTATAATTTTGAGAAAACCTTTATTTCCGAACGAAAAAAAACATTTTAACATAAAAAAAACTCTGAAATATCTACTAAAATATTTGTATTTAGAAAAATACTCGAGACATGCAGGAAAATATGTTTATGTAGATATGTACGAAAAAATATGTATGAAAATATATAATATGAACTAATATGTAAGAAACCCCTAAAACATGTAGGAAAACATATGGACAACTATGTTTGAATTTCTGCGATCGTGCTTAGATGGGATTTCGAAGTTTTAGGACGATCTGATTTGGTATGAAAACGTTATAAATACACACGTACATATCCACCGTGTGATAATTATGTAGGTATGTATGTAAATAAGTATTACATAGAAATAACAAACAGTTGCAGGCAAAATGCATGTAGCAACAGGGTGAAACCAGAAGGAATATATTTATTTGCCTAATTGCGTCGTCGCCCGTTAACTAAGGCATCAAAAGTGCGCCACTATGTAACGTCGGAACGAAAGGTGTGGACAAGTTAAAGTACCGCGGCTCCCGTAATCTATATTATAATTTCGAAAGGTCCGTCCCGTGAAATTTTCCGTGATATTCCTGCATTCCGATTGGCTGCCGGCTTTCTGGCTCCACCAATCAGGATAGCAATAAGATTTCTGAATTTGGTTATGAATATGTATGAACATGGACCCCAACAATGTTAACATGCGGCCGTCTTTATGACGGGCTTATAGGCTAGTAATCCATATTTTCGTCCTGTCCAAATGTTGACGTAAGATTTATAGGGGTAGTCAGGGTTCTCTATTATGTGGATTAATCGATTCCTGATTAATCGGGTAAAAATTCTCCATTGATGATTAGATTATTTTTCGCACAAAAATGATCGTCTAAATAAATATACGATTATTTTGGATTATAATCGCTCTCTTCCAAGACAAATTTGAAAGAAAAATAACACCTCCATGGCTACAACTGACTTTCGTATTTTCGTTGCAGGAAGAAAATATGAAATCTGATCGGAGAGATTTGTGCAGGCATTGTTAGGTAAACGAACCCTTCAAGGTAAATTTCCCTACCCTTTTTGAAAATATAGAAAGGCTTAAAACGCCGAACCCTCATTTTTCCATTGTAACCGTTACTATTTATTATGAATGTTTAGCGAAGGTTTCTTTTCTGGTTAACGGTATTTCTGAATTATAAATGTCGTGCTTTAGGGCTGCCTTTCCCAAAAATGTGGTCATTTATATCTAATTTGTGTCCGTAGAAATTTCTCTCTCCAACCAGAGTGCTACGGATCCCAAGAATATTTCATGACAGGCACACCTACATACATATTCCATGCAGATCCACAATATTTATAGACATTGTATTATCTTAATACACTAAAAAAGGACCGGTAAGTAACGGACCTTCTTTCCCTTAATCCCTAAAAAAATATTCCCTCAGTCCTTCCCTAGCATTCCGTCACGTACTTGCATCATTGCTCCACAGCTACATTTATCTAGTTTATAAAATGTTTTCTACCCACAAATTTATCCTGATTCTCCTAATCCTTCCTTATGGAATCACCGAAGCCCCCCTGAAATCAGAGATTACACCACCGCCCTGTGATTTTCTTAACTCGGATAAAACTACTTTCGAAATCCGCTATACCAGCCACATCCTTTCAAACCCTAGACTATCCTCCATCAGATATTGGACATGTTCGGCCAACCACTACTGTGGGAACTATTCAATTTCCCGAGACTATTGCCCAGAGTTTTTAAAAGACTATTACTTCGCGTTCGAACTGCCAATCAGATTGGATTTCAGTGTTCCATCCTTGATTCAAGTAAACCATAGCATCATATTCTCCGACGCAACCAGCCCGGTCGAAGTGATTACTCGATTAAGCAAGACGGAGGAAACCAGGGATCTATTTGTACAAGAAGCAGAGAGGGAAAAAGGAAACGTATTTATACCAGATTATCATTACGTCGATTTCTCAGTTAACCCTGACCCCACGTCTGAGGTGGTCGTGAGGATGGTCGAATTCGAAAATTCTGACAGCATGGGACACACGACGAGTTACACGAAATCATGTCGACACAAGGGGATAATTTGTGGGGATGAATTCGAACTGGGTTTGGAACCCTTTGGAAAATTCATTGCCAGATATTCCCAACTTACTCGAGGATTGTTTGGATTCCGGAAGGTTGAAGGAGCATTTACTCATCGGCACCAAGTGGGCAGCCCTTGGTCTACTACTGTCCAAACTACTGTCCAAACCAAGGGAACTGATGGGGTTAGTAGGGAAAGTTTTGAGGAAACGATTAAAATAGCTGAGAAACTTAGAAAGATGGAAGAATTGAACGGGAACTATAGAAGAGAAGCAATGGACGCGTATAAAAATAACAAATTTAATATTTTCATGCTAATTTTACAGGGTGGTTAAAATGTCACGCTGCAATGGAAAATTGTTCGATGGGAAAAATTCGTAAATTTCCATTAGTTACCGAAATTTGGTTTCTAAAATTAAACATTTCATGAATTTTGTCATTAGTATATCAGTTTGATAATAAGTACATAAATCTCAAGCACAAATCTTGCAACTAATGGAGGGGTAGGAGGTTTTTCCCATGTATAAATTTCCATTGTAGCGTGAAATTTGACCCACCCTGTACAATATATTTTTTGTAATATATTTTTACAGATGTCAATGCACGCAAGGATTTCCAGATTATACAAAGTATCCTTTAGGGAGGAAGTGTTCAAAATTGAGTAAAACTTTAAGGTCGGTTTAATAATTTTATTTGGTGACAGAAGGGTCTCCCATCATTGTAATGTTGATGCAAAAAAACGAAAAGCTAAAAAAAACCTAAAATCCTCGATACTTGTCCACAATTTTATTTTTGAGTCAGATCAGAAACTATTCTTTCTCTTAATAGCAGGAAACAAACGAAAAAGCGAAAATGTCAAGTTGATTTTATTTTTGAGCTACCAAAAGATCTGAATCGCATGCATAATGCGTTCCGACAAAAGAGCGAAAAAATCGTCCGCGAAGAAAGCGTTGTTTACTAACAATTCGATGGTGTAACCCTCCGACTTGGTTGAAATTTTAAAATTATGTGGTCCAGGTCAACACAACCCACGTTTCTCGAGGGGTTTGTGCGATGTTCGGAATTTGTCAAAATATTTAGGGTCAAAGTTGAGAAATCGGCGATTTTTCCCTTCGGTAAAAAATCGCCCATTTTCTCAACTTTCCCTAAAATATATATTTTGACAAATTCCGACCATCGCACAAACCCCCTCAAGAAAGAAACATGGTTTGTATTGACCTGGACCACATATTTTTAAAATTTCAACCAATTCGGAGGGTTACACCTCACACCATCGCATTGTAAGTTGGGAGCCTTTACAATCGGATACATGGTTTTAAAATCCCTAGAATATTCGTATTAATTTTTTCTATATTTTCAGCCCAATAAGATTTATGACCGGACTGACAGATTTATCGGGTTGTTTATTTCCAATTGACGAGGGCGTTAAAAACGAAATAGTAGGGTGGGTGAATGTTTGAAATTTCTAATTACAACTAAATATTAGAATAGATGTCACATTATTAGTAGTGTATTAAACCCCCGTGTAGGATTAAACTAGGATTAAAACCATATGTGCATAAACCTCATCTTGGGTAACCTCGGACGAATACTGAAAAATTGCTCCATTGTTCTACACATAGGTTGTCATACATATATACATAATTATGTACTTAAATATCCACCGATTAAAATATGTATAATAATAATTGAAATCATAAAAATGTCCTGATTTTGACAATGAATCAGGTGCGAAAATAAGACAAATTTTTATTACATGATACATAAATTCAAATTAAACAATCAAGGTTTAATACACTACTGATCCCGGTCACTAATTAACCTCTTTCGGACAAAATCACGTACCAATGACGACTGTCCCTTTAGGACCAAATTCGTCATATTAAATAATAATGAATTTTAAAAAAGTTCAGATTTCTCAAAATTTCTCAAAATACGAGTGTTTCTTTGATATTTTGTTATTTGGAAAACTCGCATCCACCCTGTGAATCCACCAGTAATCAAGGCCCGAGCAAAAGCCCGAATTAACCCTGGTAACACCCAGCCTTAAACAGTTGTTCGACTCTATGGCTCTCACCATGCAGAACGTGAAGAGGCCGATACAGTCAAACGCCCATTCCTGTGTTTTCTTCTCGAAGTCACAAGTCGCCAGAAAAACGGAGAAATATTTGCCCTCTTCCAAACAAAGCCAGGAGCCAGTAGTGCCATTGGTTTTGATCAAGTATACATCCTGTGCAAACAGGAACAATTTGTCGGGACGGCAGAGGTGCACGGAGAGAGTGATTTTATGAAATTTGAGCCTGACAGTGCCGTAGTTTCTGAGAATTATCGACGTCTGTAAAAGTTCTACTGTGTGCGAATGAAGAGTAAAATCTATATTCCCACCTGTGTATGTACAGGGTGGTTTAAATGTCACTCTACAATGGGAAAATCCTCTAAATCTCGATTGGTTCCAAGATTTGGGATTTTTATTGCTTATTATCAAACCTAAATAAACCGTAGTAACGTTAGAAGTAGCTCACCCTGTAATAATGATTTGGATATAACTTTGCACCAAAGGTGCAGAATAAGCGAACAATGTGGGCAAAATTAGGATTTCATTTTGCATCAAGGGTGCAGAATAAGCCGACAAAGGAGATACATATTTGCGGCACAAATGAGTACCAATAATGGAAAATAATCGATGAAAATAGATACATAATTTTACCCTAATATCGACTCTTAGCTCGCTCTCCTGAAAATGTCAAGGTGTCAAGATTATTTAATTGCTACTGCCAGTTATTCTGTACTTCTGGTGCGCTTTGCATCGATTGTCCCAATTGTTTTGTACCATACAAAATAGACAACCTAAATGTGCAACTTTGATAGAATTATGCACCAATGGTGGAAAATAAGCGGGAAAAATTGTTACCCAATTTTGGATTATTGCATACCAGTTGGGCTACTAATTTGGGTTAAACTGGTTTTGGGACTTATTAATTAGCATCAATTGATGCAAAAAACTCGTGAACACACGGACGGACAGACGGACAGACAGACGGACAGGAGGAATTCAATAGCTCTCATGCTACGCAGGGTGAGCTAATAATGACATAGGTAATTCCTAAAATCGAGAATTTCTGAGACAAAATTTAACACAGTAAGTAGTGGAAATTTAAAAGGTGTTATAAATTGAAATGTTGTCGCGTTTTAGAAACCAATTCATGTAATTTAAATCAATAAAACATGATTAGACCCGAGCACTACATTAAATTTGCCAAATGCGTACCCAATTTTATGGTAATGGGATAATGTTATAGCCAGTTCTATATCACTTTCGACGGGGTTGCCTATGCTTTTTGAATTGACTGTACATAAGATTATTAGCTCGCCCTGCGTAGCACGAGAGCTATTGAATTCCTCATGTCCGTCCGTCGGTCTGTCTGTCTGTTAACGACCCTTTTGCATCAATTGATGCTAATTAAAAATCCCCTTGACAATTATTGAATATGTTAGGCGCACCATTGGTATTGAACAAACCGAATCGAATTTTTTAGTAAATAAATAGCACAGTTGATATCTAACAATCGGTAACACAAAATGATGCGAAATAATTGGGGGATGGGATGCAAAACGCACCAATAGTGCAGAATATCCGGGAGAAATGATCATACAATTTTGACAACGTTTTCAAAATTATGTTTCCCGGATGGTCGCTACTGTTGCACTAATGGTGCAAGGGCCTGGCGTTTCGTTTGCACCATAAACGGCATATATATAATGAATATATAAGAGTTGTGACCTATTTCGTTGGCTTATTCCGCACCTTCAGTGCAAAGTTCTCTCTAAATTATTATTACAGGGTGAGCTACTTCTAACGTTACTACGGCTAACAATCGTTAAAGCAAAATGGTGCGAAATAATTGGAGGAATCGATGTACTCCGCACCAATGGTTAGGATTGACTGAAAGTTCTAGTTAGCCTAGGCTGACATAACCTAACCTTGAAATCGTGTCAAAATTTAGTCACAATTTTAACCATTTTGGCTCCACCATTGGTGCAACATTATATCAAATTTCTGTTATTCCCCGTTTATTCTGTACCATTGGTGCAAAATTATAAGAAAATTATGCATCCATTTTGTCCGATTATTTTGCACCTTTGGTGCATTAAACTATATCCTAATCATTATTCCAGGGTGAGCTACTTCTAACGTTACTACGGTTTATTTTGTGTAATTAGCAAAATAAATGCATATATTTAAGTATACTTATACATAAGTACCCATTGTCAATTTATGGTTGGTACCTGATTTTAAGTATTTCCGGCGTTGCAGCTTCGTCGAGGTTGGAAGGCGTGTGGAATAAAATTACTACGAGTAATCCTTTTATACTGAATTATTAGTAGATGGACATGCACTCTTAAAAACTGGTACCAAATTATTACTGGCTGGAGTTCGTGCACATGAGTTTACACACTGTAAATAGTCCGGTAATGAACATTACCGAAAGGAACAAGTACATGGCTCTACCAAAGTGGTAATGATAAGTTGTACCGTTGGTAATGGCTTAGTAATAAAGTTTTACCATCGTGGTAACGAATTTTTACTACCTGGTAAAATATTATTACCAAATTTATTAGCGAGAAATCATTACCCGCGTGACTTTACAGGATTATTAAGAGTGCAGGTATGACTCCATGGACAGGGTAATAAGTAACGTGCATTACGGTTTAGTAATGTTATGGCAATGCAAATTTAATACTCACAATTAGTCACAATGGAACCTTATTAGCTCACCCTGCGTAGCATGAGAGCTATTGAATTCCTCTTGTCCGTCTGTCTGTCCGTCTGTCTGTTAATGAGTTTTTTGCATCAATTGATGCTAATTAGATAGGACCATGTCCATTTTTTAGGACATTGGTCCTAAAAAAGCGTTAAAAAAAGCGATAAAAAAGTTCCAAAAAAGCAATAACGCAAAATGGTGCCAAACAATTGAAAGAACTGACTCAATATGAACCAAAAGTGCAGAAAAACCGGAAGAAATGTCGGCCCTTCGCAGGGGCCAAAAAAGTCTAAATCATGTCAAAATTGTGTCTTAATTTTCCCCATTTCGTCTGCACCAATGGTGCAAAATTGTTTGAAACTCATGCATCTATAGTAGGCTTATTCAGCACCTTTGGTGCAAAGTTATATCCAAATCATTATAACAGGGTGAGCTACTTCTAACGTTACTAAGGTTTTTTTAAGCTTCGCCGGGATTCTTTTAACGAGTTGTGTCAAAAAATTAAGCCAAAAATTAGGAACCACATGACACTCATCTTTCTGTTTAGTAGGCCCTTGCCCTTTGAAGAAATACACTGGGCGGCAAAGTCACGTGTCCGCCGTGTGTTCCCCGTGGAGAAAAAGCGAGAGAAATTTATGTAACTCCAGAATTGAGCCAATATTTTTCTTCAAAGGGGCCGTTCAATGGAAAAACAGGTGTCATGTGATTCCTAATTTTTGGCTTAATTTTTTGACATAACTCGCTAGACAATCCCTTGTGTAGCTTGACAAAAGGTTCCATTGTCAGAAACAAAGTACCACCATTCCGGTAGTAAGTTAGTATCAAATCAGTACCAGGACAGAGGAGATATCTAACAGTATCAGATTTTTAGCGGTGTATTAAACACCTGTGGGATAAAATTAGCATTAGAACCACTTGTACATAAACATCAACTTGTGTAAGCTACACAGTGTAACCTTGCATGAATACTGAGAAATTCAGAAATTGCTTCATTGTCCTAGGTTGTCATAATTATGTAAATATGCAAGTATTACAATATAATAACAAATCGATGTAAATGAAGCGTATGTAGCAATAGGTTGAGACCAAATGGGATATCTTATTACGTCGTCTCCCGTCAACGTATAAAATGTTCGAAAGGGAACATCCAGGTGTGAAGTTGTCAAAACGGTGGGTGGTTTTGGGTCCAGAATGAAATGTAATTCATGAAGGGAATTTAGTATTTTAACCCTTTAATCTGTAACTAAGAGAATTGTCGTCTTATAAGATACGATATACTTAATTCGGGACTAAGAGTAGATCCTCTTTCAAGCTACACCGGGATCGACTAGCGAGTTATTTCAAAAAATCAAGCCAAAGTTAAGAGTCACGTGACACTTATTGAATTATTATGAATTATTTATTACCATTGAATGGCCCCTTTGAAGAAGTCAAAGTTCACATGGGCGCCTTGGTTTCCGCCCATTAAGGAAAGAACAAGAGAAAATTTGCTCAGAAATTTAACTTTACTGCCAATATTTTTCTTCAAAGGGGTCATTCAACGGAAAGATAAGTGTGACGTGACTCCTAATTTTTGGCTTGATTTTTTGACATAACTCGCTAGTCGATCCCGGTGTAGCTTGAAAAAAGGTTCCATTGTTAGACAAAAGTCGGCATTAAAAATGCTGAAAGAAGACAATTGGCGTTTCTATTTAGGTGGCCATTGATTTTCCCCCTTTTCTGTCCGTGGCCTAAACTTGGTTACAATTTTGAGGGATTTCTCCTATTCCAATACAATGCTAAATTTGAACATTTTCTTACCGAAAATTTGGACATTTTCCCAATCCAATGAAAGGTTAAACTTTTGTTTTTCAGTACGCATTTTTCATATCGTGTTGGTGTTGACTTGCTTCACGGATTAAAATTAAAAATTATGAAATTTCAAATAAAAATGTTTCATGGGGGCCAAACATACATATTCATGTTGCAGAAAAAAGTCCTCTTATGAATTCCATACATTTCGAATTAAGTTAATTGTTGCATTGTTGATTTGTTATGTATTTGTTGCATTTGTTGAATTGCATATATTTCACATGGTTATACTGTTGCATAAAATTTATTTATAAAACTGTATAAAATACAAGCCACCGATTATTGTGTTTGTTTGATTAAATAAATAATTCTGAAAATTTGCAATAAATCGGGGCCCGTCCAAAAATTACGGTTTTATGCTCACATTCCGCCCGGTTCCGTCTGGAGAGGGTAAGACGTGTCACTTTGGGAAACTTGTGACTCCAATAATTCCATGACGATGTCTCCATGGAAACTTTGACGGTATCAAAATCCAGGGACAACTCTTCTAAAATGTCGATTGAACTGGATAGGATTCCCAGCAGTACATCCAGCTCGGCTTGTCTCCCGATTCGGATCGGATTTAGAGTGAGGCGACGGAATTGGAGGGTTTTCGTGAATACGGAGTAGTTAATATTTTGAGGCGGGTTTTTATTCTCCGAATCCGAACCAAATTTGATCGCGACGTTGTGCAACGGGTAGAAGGGCATGGTTTCAGTGAAATTTTGATGGCGGGAGAATTCCTCCGGGGGAGGGGGACAGGTGAGGTGGAGGGTGGTCCGTTTCCGAAATTCGGGTAAGACCCCGGAATTCCAGAGGGTGTCTACCAAGCGGCAGGATAAGAGGTCGGGGACCGGGAGAAAGGTGGAGATACGGTGGATGACCTAGACAGAGGAAAACCATGAGTATAAGCGTTCATTAAGCGCAAGTGGGGGGGGCATTTGGGGACATTAGTGAGTTTCATTAATTTCTGAGGGACAATTTCCCCTGTCCCCTTGGAAATTAATCAGAGGTGAACGCCGACCAATTTTTTATAATTTATCGTAGCGCGGCGACGTACGATCGGCGGCGTTGACCTCTTAAATTAGTGAGCCTACTCACGCCAACGTCGTATTTCGCACTACAACTCAGTTTTTTTCTGATCTTGAGATAAACAAAATTTGTGTTCTGAGTGTTTTTTGAAAAATGCGACTTGGCAAATCAACTATGTATTTACATATTTATTTTGAAATTTTATACATGGAATTGTCAAAAATCTCCGATCAAATCGGTTTTGCTGAGGATGAGTTTGCGAAATAAGAACGTGTCCAATTACTTGGTAAAAATCTCATGGATTTCCCCAAAATTTAGTTCGAGACCTTTCAATTTTAGCAAAACTGGACATGTTGATCAACTTAATTTGCAAAGGAAAGGAATAAAATTAAGTCTCTCATCAACTTAAAGTGTCTTTTTTACAAGACAAATGTATATGTAATTTGACGTTAGTAATGTAAATAAATAAAGAAGTGATGGTTTTAATGAATTTAAATTTAAAAAAAATTTAATACTTACATTTCCGTTTAATTGTGGAGTCAACTCAGTCATTTTAAAGTTGAGTCGAAATGGAAATTTTGTCGGCCAGCCGGAAACTAAAGTGTAGCCAACTTTTTTAAAAAAACACACTAATGACTTAAATTTTTTACAAGTTAATTAAAATATTTAATTGAATGTTACCCACCACGTTTTTACGAAGCACATGTGTACATTTACAAAGTTGCTGGAAAAGTGGTGGTGGTGCTGGAAGGTGGTCAGATTTTAGTGTTTCCTGCTCTGCATGTTTCCTCTTTGTTGCACGGAAAACAACGCTATGGTTTAATTTTATGCAAAGTTATTTAACAATTTTGTAAATTTTCTCAATTTACAACAATACAATTTGCAGCAATAAAATACAATTTTTGCATTTACAAACTGACAATGGAGGTCTCCCAACGTATACACACAAATTTGGACCAAACCAGTGTCAATCGACCACAAATATAATTAGTATGAAATTCGCGAATGGAAATATCTGCCAATGCGCAGGTTTGGCGGGGATATTTGCATAAAGATCAGGGAAAAATGCGCAACAAATTTGGAAAATGACAAATTTGCCAGCCTTGGGGGCGCGTTTTCTCCTCTTTTTATGCAAATATCTCCGCCAAACTTGTGTAAGCATTGGCAGATTTTTCCATTTGCGAATTGCATACTAATTATATTTGTGATCGATTGACACTAGTTTGGTCCAAATCTGGGAGCATACGTTGGGAGACCTCCATTGTGAGTACAATTTGCGAAACATCTGGCACATTTTCGCAATTTTTTGAATGTTTTTAAATTGTATACATCTGCTGAATTTCTACAAATTTTTGAAATTACTTATATTGCACGATCAAATTGTCAAGTATGACATATGTAACACCCAGTGCCTAAACTGGCTAAAAATGAGGGTGGGCAAACCCAATGAGGCGCCCCAAGCCGCTCGCGCCTACGGGGCTCGCAATTTCTTCCTACCAAATTCCTTACAGAGAGTAGTCCACATCCGTGAAAACGATTTTGACATTTAATATCTTTGGCACTGGTGGTAATTTCCCCTTGAAGTTTTGTGAATTAATAGGCACTAGCGTTGGTATTTTAGGTGCAAAATTTCAATTTTCTAGTGTAAAAAGCAGACCTTCCACTAACCCCAAAGTAAAACAATGATGACTTTTTTTGTTCCAGACATAAATTACCCGATGAAAGGACATGGAACATTTGCTGATTCTGTAGGCTAGAAATGTCAGGAAATAGCAAATTGTGTGAGCCCATGTCTGTAGTACACAATGCAGTTTAAATTTTGATAAAAAAATAACTGGGTAGAGTTTCAGAGTAAAAGCTATGCTATAACAGCCCGCAATCTGCAAAAATTTCTCTAATTTTCCCCAAGTACCTCCATTACACGAAATTGAGCATTTGTAGTACAAAATGTGTTTGCATTACCATCAGTAATGTCTCCTCTAACTGCTAAAATAATAAACATGAAAACATTTCAACTATTGTGATTTATAAAATTCCATTTAACACAAAAAACACTTTTCTCACGCTTTTTTGTGCGAATCCACCTGGTATGGAATGAGTGAACAAAATTTTGGGAGATTTTGAGTTGTTTATGAAAGCCACATAAATGCCAAAAATTTTCGTACCAGTCACATAAAATTCTATGAACAATTCACAATCCTGGAGTGTTATGAAAATATTCTGAAATTTTAAAAAATGCAGTTTTGGAAACGCTTTGGAACAGAAACATTTTTTCGATTGCATATATCCATACTTTCCCACCTCCCCAGAGGCCAGGTAGGTCTAACGCGGACCTCATATGCAGGTCAAACCAAGCCGAGCGCATGTGCGCTTCGCGCACATGCGCTCCTTCCCCTTGGGCACCCTTGGGGATACGTTTTTTAGATTACTGATTTTTTCTACTTTTATTTTCAAATTACAAACAAAAATTGCAAAAATGCGAAGTTTAATTTAATTTTTAGGTTAGTTTCATCATTCATTTCGAGTTTAAAGAAGCAGAAAACCCGGATCCCTGTTGGGATACGTTTGTTGCAAAACAACTGGCATCTCCATATCGCTATCCATGTCGTCTAAATCGTATGGGTGATCCTCTTCGAAGTAAGTTTGCAGATGTGGCTGTTCCATATTGTCTTTGCTAATTAGGCTGTCAACAGGAAGTGCGCCTGCAAGACTGTTTCCACCTGATCCTGCATCGACGCAAAGTTTCTGTCGTTTTTTGGCGAGTAGAGCAGCATCGCATGCAGCAATTGTCGCCACTCGTTTGTTTGAATGGGAAGTTTGCATTCCTCCTCCTAAATTTCTGGAATCTCCGGTATGATGGTGAGATACGCCCCATGTCTTTGTATACTCTGCTGCCGGTATGTCCCGGAAATCTTTGGGACCGTTGAAATGTAGTCTCATCAGCGAGTCCATTGTTTCTGGCAAAAATCGTGTTCTTCTAGGAGATTTGATGAATTTATAGATACTGAACATTCTTTCCGCATCTGCTGATGTTGGTGACACTACAAGTGACGCTTCTAGCACGAACTGTATTGAATTGCCCATCGGGTATTCCTTTGGTTTGGTTAGTATATTATGCCAAAATGGAATAACACCTCTGGATTTATATTCCTCAAATTCAGGGCTTGTTGCAATTGCGTAGCATAATATATTCCATTTGTTTGTGATATCTGAAAGTGACGTCACTGGAATTCCAACTTTACTAGCTAGGACCCGTATAGCGGAAATTTGAAATCGTCAGGGTTACAAGTGATATATATCACTGAGTGAGATTTAGTGAGATTTAATGATATATATCAATCATCTCACTTGGGGCTGAGTGAGAAATATGAGAAATAATGAGATAAACTTGTAGTTCATGACCACATCCTCTAGGTGGCGCTAGTGCATGGCTCATAAATCTCACTAAATCTCATATTTCTCATGTCTCACTATTTCTCATTATATCTCAGTGGGATGAGATTTACGAGGGTGAGATGAGATTTCTGCAACCCTGGAAATCGTCTTTCCTTCATCTCGTCCTACTTCATGTTCTTAGGATCAAGCACGTTAAACTCGGAAAACTGGCCATCAGGGAAGTAGGATATTACTTCGCTTCGGAAGTCACCTGCTATTGATTTAATAATATTTCGCAAGTGGGTAGGACTTGTCTGAGGTTGTCATGTTCCTTTCATCTTATCGCGAAAAAGTTGAACAGGAATACCTGATCGCTCTCCTAAGTTCCTTAGGGAATAAATACCTGTACTTTTTTGATTTTTCGATCCTGTCGAAGTTTTCGCAATTCACGAAACCTTGTTTATCTACGTTTTCTTTATCTAAGTCAGTCATATCTTCCGGTGACAACTCACAGTAAAGGTTTTCTAGGAGTGTGGTTCCCAGATGGGTTTGCTGCTCAGGATGGTCAGCAATAGATTGGAGCCCGGAAGCAAGGTTACTTATATGATGGGACATGCCTATCATTACGCCCCCCGATGTCTCGAATAAGGCTGTATATTCGCTTAGTTTGGTAATACAGTCGGCCATTGTGTGCACAATTATGACTTGTTCTATGTTGGTCATCTCATGCCACAATCCCTGTGCTGTCATTTTATCACTAGAGAAGCTATTGTCGCTCGCTATCCATTGAAGATTGATGTCCAAGATAGGTAAATTCATAATATATCTGTTTATAGTGATCTTGGCGTTGGTCGCCCACCGCTGTTCAAAAGTGTACAATAATCGGTATACTTTCTTAACGTTGTGCTCCTCAACGGTCCTCGACAATGATGCTACAGCTTTACCAGTTTGGGCATTATAAAAATTAGCAATGGCCTTTTGGTGTGCCTCGAATTTTCTGACGTGTGAATTTGATTTAACAGTGTGTTTGGCCGCAAGATGTAGCTTGTGGGGTGCACAGTGTACTCGAATTAATTTCTTAGGGTCCTTTTTGAATTCCCTCGACAGCCTTACTCCAAGCCCTTTTCCTTCCCCCTGCATAACTGCCGCTCCGTCGGCTATGAATGCAATGAGATTATCCTCGAAGTACTTTTGGAGATTCAAAGAAGGCATCTGTTTCTTAACTTCAGATCAGATATTCCGTTTATCATTTTTTTAATTTCTCCAAGGTACCCCTTTCCAGTTGTATCAATTCCCATTCTGGTTGATCCGAGAAATAACACTACAGGAGCTCCTTCCTCAACAGATTGAATAAGCACTACGAAAACTTCTACCCCCATCGAGTCTGTTGTCGTATCTGTGATAAGTGCTATGGGTCGTTGTCGTTTTGTCAACCGTGTCAAATATTTTACTTGCATTTCATCAGACATGTGTGTAACCATCTTAATCCATGCGTTCTTGTCTTGATGATGGTAACCAATGTTAACTCCACGAAATTCGAGCAAGTCACACATCGTGGAATGCTTATTGGCAGCAACACCCATTCGTACTTCCCCATAAACTGTCATTAGCATCAGTGCCGTTGCCTGTTCTTTTTGTCCTAGCTTTTCTAATGACTTATCCTGCATTATTTCCAAGGAATGCTTTAGTGATAATTCTTTTTTTTCTTGCTCAAATCTAAGAGCTTCTTTATGCCAGTCCTTTCTATGGTGTCCGGTAAGTACATCCTTCAGAGTTTTCTCGTTTATGGTTGCATATCCCTGTGGCTTAGCCAGTGCATTTTCATATCCCTCATGAAGAATCCCTTTCCCATGATACTTCGAGCATAACGAACATGTAAATGCAATTGTAGTACCCGTTGCCTCATCAACATCCTGTCCAGAAATTGAGGAGTCGCCACTGGTCGCTCTTCCCATTCTCTCTTGAAACTGCAACCATTCCCAAAACTTTGTCTTCCTTTCCTCTAACCATGGTTCAAGAGATGGACGAATTTTTTTTACGGCAGCTTGTAGACTTCTCCAGTTGACCTCCAATATCCTTTCTTCATTTTGTCGAGCTTGTACTATTTCTGGCAAATGCGCCCTAAGTGCTGGGTACGATATTGAGTAAGCATCTAAAACATCTCCTTGTAAATCGGGATGCAGAAACTCAGGTGTCGAAGAGTGAGTGGCACCAAAGCTCATAAATGTTTGGACAAGTTGAGATCGCCTGCATACCGCTTGTTCTCTGTCATTGTCTGGAGGTGGTACGGCTCGCTGCTCACTT